GAGTGCCGTCCCAGGGGCACTCGGCAAAGTATTTTTTTGTTAAAAAAAATTTCTTTGCCGAGCGCCAGATCTGAGACGCTCGGCACAGAATTTAAAAAAAAATTAAATCTTTGCCGAGTGCCAGATCTGGGGCACTCGGCAAAGAATTAAAAAAAATCAAATCTTTGCCGAGTGTCTAACAGCAAGCGCTCGGCAAAGAAGGCCGTGACCGAACGCCGTTTCGCGGGCAGCCTATGCCGAGTGTAGAGATTTTGCCGAGAGTCTGGCACTCGGCAAAGAAGTCCTTTGCCGAGTGCCCGTGTTTGCCGAGGGCCCTGATGGAGTCTGCCTTATTAGTTCGTCGCCCTGATGGAGTCTGCCTCCGCCGATGCTGTCGAGGAGGACCTGCACTACACGTTCATGATCTTCGATGCCAACAGCAATGGCTTCATCACCCCCTGCCGAGCTCGTGTTCGTCTTGTGCAGCCTCGGGGTCCGGGAGTCCGCTACCGTCGCACAATGCTGCCGCATGATCCAGCATGCCGACCACCACGGAACCGATCTGAGTTTGCAAATTAAAGGACACGCAAGCGGGAACTGTGAGCGCCGCGAGGGAATACGCGCGGGTTAGGTGGATGGCTAGCGGTGCCGGTGAGCTATATCTAGCATGCGACAACGTACTCCGGGATAGATGGCTTGTTAAGTTGTTATTTTGGAACACGAGATACAATTCAATACCTGTTCGACTCTATTTTCCTCTCAAAATACTTCAATATAGATTCCACGACACAGATAGTTTTTCTCTTGAGTTGCTCTTACGACAACTAGTCAACTAGCTCTAGAAATAGGGCGACCACCATTAGGAACCAGATTTTTAGCTGCAGCCTTATGATAGCTGCATCTAGAAATAGGACTATTGTACTGGCGCGGTTGACATAACCTACTACCAGTCAATATATCTATTTCTAAAACTACCGCCAGTAAAAATAAGATCGACCATTTCTACTAGTGATCGTGTTATATAGACCGCCAATAGAAATAATTTCGCGGATTTTAGGCACTATGCTTGACGTTTACTTTTGTGTACCACCAGTGAAAAAATATGTGGCGTTAGTAGTGAAAACCGTTTTCTAATATATAAATAGTACATGTGTAACAAACCAGTTGTGATAGTTTCCCAAGGCATCTCTACGGGTTATGATTGGTAGCATCAATTTCAGTTGATAATAACCACAATACCGGTATTAATGAAATCCGTTATCTAAGAAAAAACCTGCAAAACCGGTAGTGATGATGCTACAATCCGTCCTTCGGTGTGTGACAAATCAAAGTCGTAGATGTAAAGATCATTTCTTTTGCAGTGATGGATGAGAGGAAAAAAAAGAGATACGAGCCTATAAAACTAGGACGTTGTGAATGTAAATGAATGATGGAAAAGAACAAATGACTCTCTCTTTTTTAATTTGATACTAGTACAAATGACTCTAGATCTCGAATAAACATATTATTCTACTGACATCCCCAAGGGTCACATTTTCATATTTGAAAATTTCTGGATGCTTAAACCTGGCTTCCTTGATCTGGTCCTTCAAAATTGGTCCTTTCCCACCTTCCTTCACGATAAGGCCAGAACCATCTCTAAGAAATTCAAGAACTTGAGAAGCTTCCTCAAATCTTGGAGTCAATCCTTCTCTAGAAGCTGAGCATTGCTAACATCTCCATGACTATTCAGTTCCTTGAAAACCTGGAAGATCATAGGGATCTAACTCTAGAAGAATGGAATTTTAGAGAAATTCTAAGGGGAAAATTATTGCATCTGTTGGAACTACAGAGAATATATTGGAAGCAAAGGGGCTCTATCAAGTGGGTTACTCTGGGAGACGCTGGCACCAAATTTTTCCATGCCAATGCAACAATAAGGCACAGGAGAAATATTATCACTAAGTTGGCAACAGATGAAGGGGAGGTACACACTTCACATGCTAGTGAGGTACTGGTTATCTGGCAATCATTCAAACAAAGACTGGGAGTCTCTGAATTCAATAATATGCTCTTTGACCTTACCTCCCTAATTCAAATGCATCATGATCTTGGCGGGATTGAAGATAAGTTCACTGAAATTGACAGTGTGGTGAAAATGCTCCCTAATGACAAATCTCCTGGGCCTGATGGGTTCAGCAATGAATTCATCGAGAAATGTTGGCAAATAATCAAAATGGACTTGTATGAGTTATGCTAGGAATTCCAAAATAACAATGTTTGCCTGCAGAGCATTAATTCCTCCTTCATCACCCTTGTCCCCAAAAATCACAGCCCTTCTTGCATCTCTGACTATAGGCCAATGTCATTGCTCAATGCTTCCAGGAAGATAATTACCAAACTCTTGGCTGATAGGCTACAGACCATAATCACTTCTCTCATCCATAAGAACCAATATAGATTTATCAAACATAGAACCATTCAAGATTGCTTAGCTTGGGCATTTGAATATCTACACCTGTGCCACCACTCCAGAAAAGAAATAGTCATACTAAAGCTAAACTTTGAGTAGGCCTTTGACAAAATTGAGCACTCAACCATCCTGAAATTATTGGAAGCTAGAGGCTTTGGGCAAACTTGGATTTCTTGGATCAGCAACATTCTTTCAACTGGATCTTCTAAGGTATTACTCAATGGTGTCCCTGGCAAAAATATTCATTGTAAAATAGGTGTGAGGCAAGGTGATCCACTTTCCCCTTTGTTTTTTGTCCTGGCTGCTGACCTGTTACAATCTGTCCTTAACAAGGCAAAGGACATTATTGGTCTCCTTAATTTGCCTATCCCTCTTAACAGCTGCACTGACTTCCCTGTCATTCAGTATGCTGATGACATCTTGATCATTCTCGAAGGAGATGCTAGGCAACTCTTCTTCCTCAAATCTGTCCTCCACTCTTTCTCTGTTTCCACAGGTTTGAAGGTCAATTACAGTAAGTCTCTGATGCTTCCCATCAACATTTCTGAAACCAAGTTTGATCTCTTGGCAAATACCTTTGGCTGCTCTAAAGGTTCATTTCCTTTCACTCATCTTGGGCTTCCACTTGGCCTCACCAAAACTAAGGTTGAGGATTTCCTTCCATTGGTAAACAAATATGAGAGGAGACTTGCATGTGCTTCTTCCTTCCTTTCTCAAGCTGGGCAACTTGAACTGACAAATGCAGTCCTCACTGCTCTTCCCACCTTCCGTCTCTGTGTCCTTGCCTTGCCTAAGGGAGTGCTCAAGCGAATTGACAAATTCAGAAAACACTATCTTTGGAGGGGATCAGATTTAAAATCTAGGAAACCTTCCAAAGCTGCTTGGGAGATGGTCTGCAAACCAAAGGAGGAGGGAGGTCTAGGGGTTTTGGATCTACAGAAGCAGAATGAAGCCTTACTGATGAAAAATCTAGACAAGTTCTTGAATAGAAGAGATGTACCCTGGGTAACAATGGTGTGGGAAAAACACTATCCAAATGGAAAGCTGTCAGGCAACACCCTAAAAAAGGCTCCTTTTGGTGGAGGGACATCTTAAAGCTCCTTAAAACTTTTAATTCCTTATCTAAGGGTAAATGTGCAGAATGGTCAAACTTGCCTTTTCTGGCAAGACAATTGGATGCAGCAGCCACTCAAGTCTGACTATCCAGAACTGTATCCTTTTGCCAAGAACAAATGGATTTCAGTTCATTCAGTATACCATCAGCAATCAATCAATGGTATTTTCGGTCTGCCATTGTCAACAGAAGCCTTTAGTCGGTTACAAGCAGTGGAATCCATAAGAGAGCACTTTCCATTGATGGATCAGCATGACATCTGGAACTCAAATTGGGGGGCCTTCTCCTCTTCAAGAGCATACAAATTTCTGATTGGTCACAGCGAAGTCCACCAAGCTTTCAACTGACTCTAGAAATGCTTTTGCCAACCAAGGCAGAAAGTCATCTTCTGGTTGCTTCTAAAGGATAGGCTAAGCACAAGAGATATCATTAAAAGAAAGAACATGCAACTTGAATCATATAACTGTGTCGTGTGCAATTTGAGCGCTGAGGAGACCTCTGCACATCTGTTTCTTAATTGCCCATTTGCTAAGCAATGTTGGAGTTCAATTGGAATATCCTTCCAAGGTAACAGCATAGCTACAGAGGCTATACTGGAGATAAGATCACAGGTGAATAATAGATTCTTCATGATCTCAGCAATTTTGATGTCCTGGGCAAAGGAGGTGTTCAAGAAAGAAATCCAGCTTCTGACCCTAAGGGCCAAGGCAAAAGACTCCGCTTTATTTGATCAATGGATCTAGAATCTGTCGTAATTTTCTTGCTTCATTTTATTTTCTTTCTTTCATTCTTTGTTTCTTAATTTTTCTTGTCTTGACTGTTGTCTCCTCTTGTGACTTTATCTTTTAATAAAATTCCTGTAGGGGCGAAAGCCCCTTTTTTCAGTTCCTAAAAAAACAGATTATTACATATTTATACAGCCCAGTGGGTGTTGACATGTCCCTTCATGGACAACTTGTCTCTTTCCGAAGGGGTTTGGAACTTTCGCGAAAGAGTCCATAGGGTTAAGTACAGCTAATGACGTGATTTGCGATCACTGGTGAATTATTTCTGACGATGTGGACATCATTGCTGCCGTCATGCATGCCCGTTCCAATAATAGCGGTTAGCGGCTTCTATTGTTCTCTTTTCCTTGGAAGTCACATATTCCCCCCTTGGATATTACCGCTGTAATAACATGAGCGACACCATGGAATCCAAAACCATCGGTTTACTACGGACCTGTCCCCGTCCGGTCTCGAGTGTACCAAAGAGAATCGTAGTGGTATTCTAGGAAAACGGACTTGTTGCATCTCAGTCCTCAAACAACGATGCGATTGACACGTGGCTCGACCGCACGAGCCGGACCTATTTAAACCGCTCGAGCCGCACACCTGAAGAACCACGGCAAGTGACCAAGTGCAAGTGCAAGTACAAGGCTAGCTACAGCTTACGAAGGGGGTAGAGCTGTTAGCAATGGCGAACGCTACGCTTGCCGTCGTCCTGGCCGTGCTTGTTCTGGTGCAGGTTTCGTGCGGCGTCGCGCGGCATCACCACGACCCGGACCCGTGCGGCGGGGACTCGGTCCTGCTGGGCCACAAGGACAACGGCTGCTCGTCCCCGGCGGTGTCGGCCCACGGCACGCGCGCGGTGATGACGGTGAACGGGTTCCAGAAGGGCGAGGACGGCGGAGGCCCATCAGAGTGCGACGGCAAGTACCACAGCGACAACGACCTGATCGTGGCGCTGTCCACGGGGTGGTACGCGGGAGGGAAGAGGTGCCACAAGAAGATCCGCATCACGAGCGTGCAGAACGGGCGCACCGTGGAGGCAACGGTCGTGGACGAGTGCGACTCCCGCCACGGCTGCAAGAACAACATCGTCGACACGTCCAAGGCCGTCTGGAAGAAGCTCGGGCTTGACACCGACATCGGCGAGGTCCCAGTCACCTGGTCCGACGCATGAAACCAGCCGTTGGTCGCGCGGGGCGGGGTGGCTTGCCGGCCGGCCAAGGGCAAGGGAAGGACGAAGACATGTTCTTTGATCAGGTCCCCTTGTCCCTGCGGCTTGCGTTGTTGTACGTTGTCACGTACGTGGAGTCTGTAATTGTACCTGCATCTAGAGAATGAGAGGATGACGGTACAGTTGATGTGTGTGTCGTTTGTGACAATATTATTGCTACTCTCGAGGCATGCTACCTAGTAGGTAGCTAGAGTGGCAGAATAAAACTACTTGCATGGTGTACGCGACTTGTCATGTAACGTTAAGGTGTTCCTGTCAGTCTATCAGCTTCTAAAAACAACGTGTTTGTTCATATCGCGTTAATTGTTCACCACTCAGTTGTTTCTAAATGTTGTAAAACACGTTGACAGCAGTTAAAATCTGTCTCTCCCCATCTCATATGAGCAATGCAGTAGATAAAAATAAAAGAATATATAGACACAAGATAGAAGAACTATTCTTTATCATTCGAATACTGATGATTATAACATAGAGCTCTCATCTCATGTATATATAGTTCACAACAAGCTTAAGAGAATGGACTAAGATCTATAATTCCTCCTCCTTTCTTTTCAAGTTAGAATCTTTATGTTTTACAACACTTCCTCTTCGACGATATCACGATATGTACATGCCTCGTTGAAAACTCTAACCGAAAACCTAGTGGTAATTTAAAACAGTTTAGGAGAAAAGAGTAGATCGTATTTGCAAATTACATTGCACACATATTGCCTCATTAAAAATCTTGTGTAAAAACCCACATAGGGAAAAAAGAATACAACACTTAACCTTTTTGGTCATGTATTATTCTTCAACATCTTCTATTCTTCATGAACAAATGTCAATCTTCATGTTCTATGCATAAACTTCAACATTTTGCCAAATAAGATCCTATTGGTTTACTTTCGAGGTAGATTTAATCAAATATGATCCCCTCATAAAGTCATCCTTTGAACTTCATTGCTCAAATCACTGAAATCACACTTTTCATAATTGTATGCATAGTTGGCACCACAATACTTTGTCTTTCAAAAACTTGGCTTGCAGTTCTTCTGTGAATTGTGAAATGAATAAATATGAGCAATATTCTTGATGTGTATATGACCAATTATTTGTTGTACAATACAAATAAAATCTATCTTTCTAGGGAACTAAATTCTTTAAGGGGCTGTTTGGATCCTTTCATTTGGAGGAATTGAAATCTACTTAATAAATTAGGCTATTTGGCTTGGAATTTGACATTCCACTACTTTTCAAAGTTCACATATAAGCCTATCTCAAATTCATAGGGCGGAAGATGGAAAGTGATTCTATAGATCACAATTCTAATGTTTCTACTTTGCAACTTATAACACGCTCTTCAACTCACTCTCCTTTGGTAGAAATACAACACATAAGTATCTTTCTCGTATAGCCAACAATTATATACAAATATAATCCATATACAACCATATTAGATTAATTAATGTGTGTCTAAATTGTAATTATTAAAATAAATTCAATTCCAAGGATCCAAACGAGGCCCAAGAGTATTATAGGGGTAAATGAGTTATAATGATAGATATCTTCTAGATAGTACCTCAAATCTCATTCTAGAGTTTGAATACATGTAATGGATTTTCAAATTATATTTTTCTACAAGTCTCCAGGATTCAAATTGTACCCCTAATAAGTAGTAAATGTAGTATTGGATTTGGTATTTAGGGGATAATTCAATTGTCAATATCACCAATATTCTTATACCTTCTATGGTATTTAGATGATATGACCACTTCATTGTTAGTTTTGCATTTTGAGTGTTCTATAAGACAAATTCATGGTGTTATTATTCGTCATTTGCTTTCACTTGGGTCTATGTTCACGCCTGAGATTAATGGTATTCACTAGTAGAGAAATGACTTTTGATCTACTTCAAAATTTGGCTTTAGTCTCGGTATTTTTCGCGCCCGGGACTAGAGAAACCTTTAGTCCCGATCGGTAGCTTCAACCGGGACTAAAGGTTCCTGCCAACGGCCACTGTGGTAGGCTTTTGCTGTAGGGGACCTTTAGTCCCGGTTGGAGCTACCAACCGGGACTAAAGGTTAACTTTTACTCCCGGTTGGTCCCTCCAACCGGGAGTAAAAGTCTACTCCGGGCTGGAGGCTCCGTCCGAGACTAGAAAGGGACCTTTAGTCCCGGTTGCTTTCTCCAACCGGGACTAAAGGTCCCTTCCTATATACCCCTTCTTACTCCCCGAGCCCGAGCCACTTCAAGCTCAGTGTTCTTGCTTCATATCGCCAGCCTCTCTTCTTCCACATCGCCGATAATCACAAGATTTCTTCGATTCCTCCATCGATTCTTCGGTTCTAAAGGTTACCAACTTTATACTTTCATGTTTCATCAGTAGCATATCTCATTTTGTGGACTAGATATATGTGGTTTTTTATGGTGGATTTTTTTATTTGTAAGCCATTTAAGCTCAAAATCACTTTAAAGTTTGCATATTTGGATGAAGGAAGGTTAAAGTAGTTATTCAAAACTAGTATTCATCTTTCATTTCTAGCATGCATAGCACACTTCATGGTTTAGAGATATAGAGAATTTTGGAGTTTTTTTAATTTTAGTTGTTTATAAAATGAGAAATTTATATTATATTAAAAATGAGTATAGAGAGTAGATGGCAACTGCTTCCGGGTCCTCGGCCTCTCATCGGGTTCCAAAACGACTAAGGCCGGACCTCCCTCTCATTGCATGCGGCAAGTGTGAGGAGAAGATTGTGATGGAGTACCGGGTGAGGAAGGAGTGTCCCAACAAGGGTCGTATCTTCTACAAGTGTTCGGATCGCAATGTGAGTTATTTTGTCGCATTTGATGATTATGGTTAATTTATACTTATTTTCATGATGATTGTGATTAAAGTTCTAATTTTTTGTTTTAATTTCAGTAGGATGGCACTGGATGTTCAGGCTGGTACTGGGAGGAAGAGTATGTTGAACACGTGCAAAACTCTCTTGCACAGGCGGCTACGACGGTTGATGAGGCAGTGATCCTGCGGAAGAAGCCCATAGATGTTGAGCAAACACATGATCTATCTGTTTTAGTTGGGATTGGTCGTGGAATCCGTATGCTGCTGAAGTGTATTTTAGCTTTAGTTTTTTTAGTGGTAGTTGGGATTGTCTACATTGTAGCGAGACTTTCATAAATTAATACCTTGTGTGGTGGCATGCATGTCGTATAATAAACTAATTATGTTCTAGGTTTTAATATGGTATGTATGTCATGTAATGCAGATGAGCCAGCATTGGATGTACAATGCTGATTGCCGCTCCCAAGAGTTCATTGGGGGCGTGCATTCTTTCTTACGTGTGGCCGAGGCAAACAAACACGATGGTTTCATGTGCTGCCCATGTGCCATATGTAAGAATTTGAAGGAATATGCTAGCTCAAGGAGTCTTCATTCACACTTGTTGAAGTCGGGTTTCATGCCAAACTATATTTGTTGGACAAAGCACGGAGAAACCGGGGTTGTAATGGAAGAACGTGAAGAAGAACAATGGGACGATGATGACATTATTGTTGAATATGGTGCCTTCAATGATACTGCAATGGGGGAAGCTGAAGAAAGGGTAGGGGTAGAAGATGAGAACGCTGATGATCTTGGTCAGGCCATTCGTGACGCACAAAGAGAATACGAAAGTGAAAAGGAGAAGATCAAGTTCGAGCGCATGCTAGAGGATCATAAGAAATTGCTATACCCAACTTGTGATGCGGGGTAGAAAAATTTGGGTACCACACTGGAATTGCTGCAATGGAAGGCAAAGAATGGTGTATCTGATAAGGGATTTGGGGAGTTACTGAAAATCCAAAAGAAGATGCTTCCGAAGGATAACAAATTGCCCGTCACTACGTACAAAGCAAAACATGTAGTCTGCCCTTTGGGATTAGAAATCTAGAAGATACATGCATGTCCTAATGACTACATCCTCTACCGTGGCGAGGAGTACGAGAAGTTAGATGCATGCCCGGTATGTCATGCATCGCGGTATAAGATAAGGCGAGATGACCCTAGTGATGTTGAGGGCGAACGTCCCACGAAGAAAATCCCTGCCAAGATTATGTAGTATGCTCCTATAATACCACGCTTGAAACATCTGTTCAAAAACAAAGACCATGCAAAGTTGTTGTGATGGCACAAAGAAGACCATAAGGTAGACAATATGTTGAGACACCCTGCTGATGGGTCCCAGTGGAGAGCAATCGATAGAGAATTCCTGGAGTTTGCAAATGACGCAAGAAACTTAAGGTTTGTTTTAAGTACGGATGGTATGAATCCTTTCGGGGAGCAGAGCAGTAGTCATAGCACTTGGCCTGTTACTCAATGTATCTACAACCTTCCTCCCTGGTTTGCATGAAGCGTAAGTTTATTATGATGCCAGTGCTCATCCAAGGCCCAAGACAACCTGACAACGACATTGATGTGTACCTGAGGCCACTAGTTGAAGAACTTCTACTTTTATGGAACATACCAGGTGTACGTGTGTGGGATGAGCACAAATAGGAGCACTTTGACCTGCGAGCATTGTTGTTCGTAACAATCAATGATTGGCCTGCTCTAAGTAATCTTTCAGGACAATCAAACAAGGGATATAATGCATGCACGCACTGTTTCGATGACATTAAAGATATATTCTTGAAAAAATGTCGAAAGGTCGTGTACCTTGGCCATCATCGATTTCTTCCTGTGAATCACCCCCCTAAGAAAGAAAGGCAAGCATTTTAAAGGTAAGGCAGACCACCAGACCAAGCCTGGCAACCGAACTGGTGAGGGTGTACTCAATATGGTCAAGGATGTGAAAGTAGTATTTGGAAAGGCACATGGCATCGAACCTGTTCTGAACGACACCGATGGTCACGCACCCATGTGGAAGAAGAAGTCCATATTTTGGGAGCTACCCTATTGGCAAGTCCTAGAGGTCCATAGTGCGA